CAATCCATCGTCATCGTCCAACGCCATGGACCAAACATATCGGTTCTTGGAATTGCCATTGATACCATTGAGTTGCGTCACTTTGGTAATGTTGAGACTGTCCAGCAGCACAGATGGATCCACATGTCGAGCTAGGTCTTGGTCCGAAAAGGTAATTGCAAAGACTTCTGCGCCCGTGTCAGTGAAGGTTTCGTCCTTGGACAGGGCTTTGCCTCTCCAACCAAAAATGACAGACGACATCCATAGCTGAAACTGATCCCAAGGACCATCGTCACTGCTGATCCAATTGCTCAGAGCTGTTGCATCGCAAGAAGAGAAAAGCGAAAGGAGTATTAGAATGGAAATATGTGATGGTCGCATGGTCACCGTTGTTTCTTCGAAAAGTGGAGTGTAAACTCTTGGTGCTACAGTACCGGTACATGATTGATCTATCTTCCCTGTCGCTAGCTAGCCGTCCAACTTACGTTGCACCCCACCGTCTGTCGCATTTAAAAAAAGTCAACACACACTTGGCCTCCGTTGAGATTGTTCCTTCGCCATGCCTGCAGGAGCCCAGCCAGCATAAATCTGACTTTTGCGAGTCGAGTCGAGTGTGTTTTTGTGAGGAGAGCAATGCGGACCAGAGAAAGATATCGGAGCGCGTAGCTCGTGGAAGGGTGTACCGACACCGGTACTCCACAGGAAAAGCGCACACCTTCACGAAGTTTTGGTGGGGATTCGGGCCACCATGGAGCACGACTACGAATTATTCAATAATCTGCTCGCGCTCTTGATATTGTTGCCAACCAATGGAGACCATGGAGACCGCAACCACCCTCGTCGACAAGGAGATCTCCATCAAAGAGATGCTAAAGAGCTTCCTGACAGATGAAGCTCTGAATGATGTGACACTCAAGGGAACTGATGAAGTGGAGGTACCAGCAAACCGGTTCCTTCTCTGTGCTAGAAGTCAGGTTTTTAGGGGAATGCTTTTGGGCAAGTTTCAAGAAGCTTCCTCTCCTGTTGTAGAGCTTGGCTTCAAAGGAGGCACCTTGAAAGCTGTTGTGGAGTATATGCTTACAGATTCTGCAGATATGCTGAGTTGCAAGAAAAGCGAGAACCCAGACGTCGACCAAATTTCTGTTGATTTCCCTCTCATCCCGTCCCTGGTTTCTTTGGCTGAAGCTGCATCATACTTCCAGCTTCCGAACCTGGCAAAATTAGTCCTGAAAAAATTTGAGCAAATGTGTGAAGTAGCACCAGGGTTGTCATTTGCGATCCTTCAGGCCTGCAAAGTGGCTGGACCTTCCATTCCGGTGGGTATTGCAGACAAAATTATGGCCCGAGTTCGAACCACTCCATTTGAATTAATCACCAAGGAGCATGTAGACTGTTTGAGTGCCGATATCCTCAAAGAGATACTCACAGACAAACAAATGGAAAAAACAGAATACCAGCTGTTTCAGATCCTGGACCTATGGGCACAAGGCAAGAAGAGTGAATGTAGCATCATTGCAAACGAGCTTTCCCGGCACATCTCTTTTGAAAAGATAAACCCAGAAGCTTTAGCAACAACAGTCACCAAATCAGGTTTGGTTTCATCTGAGCAGCTGTTGGAAGCGTTTAAGCAGCAGGCCCTAGAAATGTATAAGGCGTCCCTATGTGCAACCTTTGACCGCGCTCGATGTCCATGGTTGGAAGTGTTGATTCCAAGTAGGGGATTGCCAATGGAGATCAAAGTGGAAGGAGCTGGTGCTGAAGGTGTCAATGGTGTTTATTTTCAAGATGGGTCATTCAATGGCAAATGCAAGTACAGCAAGGAAGGGGTGTACGAAGGGAATCCCTGCGTATTCTGGCTGTTTTCCGACACTTGGTGGTATGTATCAATCCCTGATGAGAATTTTCCAGGAAGTACTACAGACAAGGACTTCTATCGCAGCGCGACGGATCATTTTGAGGAAAATGAGCTTCCTGCACCAAGCACAGTGTGGGAAATAGAGGATTATGGAATAGAACCAACTCCCCAATTGAAATACAGATATCCTTGATTCGCTCATTTTTTGGGTGGGCTGCTTGGATCCTTGCTCATCTGATGTGCTATGTCTTGCTGTTTTTTCTGGCCATCCTGGACACCATTTGACTCCTCTGTCTGGCCCTGACATTCTGCTTTTTTCTGTCCCTTGCATCCACGGCGCTTTGATTACTAGCCACTGCAATATGTTAGCTAAAATATAGGCGCCCCGTAGTCTGCCCATGTCTCGTAGAGAGGATCCTGGACGTCGACCGGCTTGTCTGCGTTGCCTGCAACATGAGATAAATCACAACCACGTCAACGGTTCTGAAGCTCGTGCTCTCTCAGGATGTACTAGTACTAGTACAACGGGAGACCAAGTGTGTTCATCTGGCTGTTTTCCAGTGGATTATTCTGGTACATCCCAGCCTTGACGGGGCTAACCCGCCCACTGTACCGTGTCAAAAGTCCAAGCTGGTCTCGGCTCTCTGGCTCCGGAGAACGTAGCTTTGTGGCGGTTGGTGGCCAGGGTACCGAACCAGCCCCAAAGGCAAAGTACCAACGAAGCACCACCACACAACGCGAGAAATATATATATATATATAACGGGGGTTTAGAGACGCGAGAAATCTGGTCACAGTACCCAAAATTCGTGGTGCGAGAGTTCTTCGATCTATGAGGGCACTTCTCACATGTTGGCTTATATGTGACCAGCACAGCAACCCGCCAGCTGGCCACGCCATAACAATCAACATTTTACCCATATAAACGTATATTGATAATTCTACGTGTCTTAACTATTGTGTCGCAAACCCCCGACTCGACTCCAGAGCTCCGGTCGTTCCAACAGGAGTCCGTATAGAATCGCCATCTCGCTGGACGGAACCAGCGAGATTGCGTGTAAAAAGCTGTCCGCGTTGCAGCCCTCGTCCCTAATCTTTGCTCTCCCATATTTGTTCATGCCAAGCCAATAATCAAATTTCGCTTGCGTTCCCCCGTCAGGCGATTGTTGCAATGGGTTGATGTCTGCCAGGGAGGCATTGTGCCGCTCCAGGAGCTCCACGAATCCATCGTCCACTTTGAGCACGGGATATTCAGTACGTGGCACCAAGCGCAGCGTTCGGATCCAGTGGTTCTCCTTGAGTGCTTGGACAATGTCAGCTGGATCCATGCGGCAACCCCTCATCGTCAGAGACTCCAGCCTTGACGCCTCCCGTAAGAAGGGAAGAAGGCGGTGGGGATGTTCCAGGCATGTCTTGCCAGCCTCGGCATTATCATTGTTGCGTGGGTCAAAGTCCCAATCGACCTCTAACGTCCTGAGATGCCCAAAGGATTGTCGCATTCCCAAAACGACGTTCCTGCAAGAAGCACCCGTCATCCCGGAGCCACGATGAATGGTCAGTTCTTCCAATCGTGGTTCTCCATCCTCCCCGGATGGTTTGTGCCGTCCAACCCCCCGCACTTGTATTCCCCGCAGCACAAGGGATCTCGACACCTGGCACACCAGTTCACCCAGTTTGGGAAAGGAAAAGTTTGCCAGCTCCAGCCGATCCAAACATTGTCGTGTTGATCTCCTCTGTACCCCTCGTACCAGTGCTTGGAGCAACAAGCCATCCTGATTGTTGCTGAGCCTGTCATCCTGACACACGTCCAAACGCAGGTCGGAAATGTGTGTATTGTGCATGAGGGCCCTCTCAAAGGCCACTCGTGTTTTGGAAGGTTTCGTGGACATGGCATACGAAGGAAGCGACAGAGCCAGTTTCCGAAAGGTGGCTGGTGCCGATGCCAGTTGTCCCATAAAGTGGCAAAAGGCTCCCTGCGTCCAAGCCTTGGCTTGCAGCTCCAGAGATTCCACTTTCCAAAAGAGTTTGCCCAGCTCCACGGCAATATCCTTGGTGATTGTCAAGCCGTCAGCGGTTGTTGGATCGTCTGGGGCAATGACAATGCCGGTATCCCGAGCCGTAACGGCAGTCGCAATTGTTTCCACCCACCGACAGTTCGCGGCAACGGCAATGCCCCGAGTTGTTGGCAAGGTTTCCACCATGGTTTGGAGTACACCCAGCTCGACATGATCTCGAAAGAGCAGTCGTTGCAGTGCCGTGCTTTTGATGGGCGTGGTTTGGTTGACAACCAGGAGACTTTCGGGGCAGAGTGTGATCATTCGTTGGATGGTGGCCAGAGACGGCCCCTTTTTCTTGTCGGCCCTTCGATCCAGGACCACGTCGATTGGCAACTTGCCCTTGTAATCCGGCGTGGCCAACGAGTGAGGACACGCGTATGCGAGATAGTCAATGATATCCTCTTGGTCGTCCAAGGAACAAGCGACGTGAATGGGCAGCTTTCCTCGATAATCTGGCTTTGTGAGAGTTTTGGGCCGTGCCGTGGCCAGATAGTCAATGACGTCTTTATCTCCCACGGTACAGGCAATGTGGATTGGAAGTCGTCCCATGCTGTCGGCACGGGTGAGTGCTTGTCGGTGTCGCGACCGCAAATAGTGTATGGTATCCTTGTCACATTGGGCACAGGCAATGTGCAGAGGAAACATTTCGTCGTCATCGGTCTTGGCAATGGCCTTGGGGTACGCCGATGCAAGGAACTGAATGATGGCCTTGTTGCCGTTGGCACATGCCAAGTGGAGAGGCAACCGTCCGTCTGCGGCAGGTCGATTGAGCGGATGACGACTACGCGATGGAATCATTTGTTTGGAGGCATAGGTTTGCATTTCTCGGTCTACCAAATCTTGAATTAATTTGAGACCCGCATTGCCGGCCTTGAGGGCTCGTCCCAATTCCGTGGTGCGTCGGCGACGAGACACATCAAAGTAGAGTGTGCGTCCCATTTCGTCCATTCCTCCGGGTAGACTCAAGCTGTCGTCATCGCTGTCGCTCCCCGCAAAAAAGTCGAAATAACTACAGTCAATCGTCTCTTCTTCATCACTGCTACTTTCATCGTCATCGTACCAAAGACGAGCCACGCCTTGATTTTCACGGGGGAGGCGCTGTGCTACGTTGTTTTCATGGCGAAACAGATTCATGGTGGTGGTGGTGGTGGTGGTGGTTGCAGGTACTTTTTACTGTGCTGGAGCTGTGTTTTGTGGGACGGTCGAGTCGGACCCTTTCCTCCTCTCTGGCTGGAAAAGCCCCCTCATGACAGACATGCCTGCAAAGCGAAGGACATCATCATTAGTGTCGGTATTGTTGTTTGTGATGGGCACAAGGGCACGACAGCAGTGAGCATAAAGCTAGCAAGACTGAGCAAGAAGATTCGATGCAAGAAGAAGCACAAAAGCTCTTTTACGCGGAACCGCATTGTGAAAGTCATTTGAGAAATGTCAAAATGGGTCATGAATGAGCCGTTGCCGTGTTCTCGAAGATTCCGCATGATGCACGAATGAGAGGCCGGCTCATTCGAGTTTCCCCCAAACTGATCGCCAACGATCGTCTGCATGTCTCAATCTCATTGTTGTTGATGATCTTGCTGTTGTCTTTTGCTTGATCGTTTGAGGAAGTGGTCTTGCTAGCTTGTCGTCTCTGCTTGATCGTTTGAGGAAGTGGAGTACAGTAGCTAGCTTGTCCTGACTAGAATACAAGAAAAGAAGAAGTGCAAGATGCTGTCAACCAACAACAGCTCCACCGTCGTGCCGTTGAAAATCACCGTGGGCCTGGGTGACGACAATGAACCTTCCAAGATTGATTTATCCGGAGACCGCTGTTGCTGTGGCCGTGTCACGTCGGAGCTTCGTCATCGAGCATTTGATGCGACCGAAGTCAATGGTCCCACGCTGCATGGACCGGCTACGTTTGCGCCAGCAGGCCGATGGACGTTGTTGGGCAAGACCATCATCACCGTGTGGTCGGCGAGCTCTCTGATCGATGGAATCTTGGCCGCGGAACCCAAACTCTTCTACTTGGCGTATCTCACGCATTGGTCGTTGATGGTGACAATCCTCTACATGACGCTGAGTTGGATGCTGACCTTTCGAGCCACGGTCCTTGCCAAAGCGGAAGAAGCAACCGCGACGGACGTGACGATGCTGCACAAGATTGTCTGGTGTCTCTTCACCGTTGCAGCTCCGGCGGAAATTGTGGTGGCCATTGGGTACTGGGGTTTGGAGTGGGACGGATCCAGCGCTGGATTCTACTATCGCAACTTTATGGTCCATGGAGTCGTCTTGGGGTTGCTCTTGTTGGATGGGCTGCTGCTCAACAAGATTCCACTACGCATTCGGCATATTGGACTCATTCTCGGCTATCTCTTCCTCTACTTGATTTGGACCTTTATTCATGCTTATCTCGGGATTGGTAACCCCCAAACACCTGAAGACGATGATACAATCTACACGGCCTTGCAATGGCGCCAGGATCCACTCTCGACGGCGGTGGTGGCGGGGCAATTTTTGCTCCTCCTGGCACCCATCGCATTTTGCACCGTCTATGGGATGTCACTCTATTCCTTTCCCTGTGGATGCAACGGACAGAGTCGACGATACTTGTCCAATACCAATACCAGCAATAACACAGACAAGGATGCATCCACAACCAAGTCGTCCGCGTCCTATGTCGAAATGGGAGCATTCGATATGGCAAGTGTGTAGTCAGTCCCATTGATTGCATAGGCCATGGGCGTATGCCTACAAGAGATTTCAGGCGCCCAGCGCATGCAACCAAACACAAAAGGGTCGTCCCACCAAAACAAACATGGCAACATACCACATCTTATTTAACCAAACCAAATGAAGTGCGACAACTGTTACAGACTGGACACAAAAGTGTGTCACACCAAAACAAACATGGCAACATACCACATTATTTATCCAAACCAATGAAGTGCCACAACTTTTACAGACTGGAGTTCGCATAGAATAGACCCACTCCCAATCATCAACCACTCTGCCGCTGGTTACAAATAGCCACGCTTCAATAAAGAAACTCATCATCAGCTTCCGTAGATAACTTCCTTACTCTAGGTAAACCCCCATTACCATCAAAGAACAACTTTAGTTGAAATTCAATATTTGTAGGAATGTGCAGCTAGCTTTGTCCTTCCGCTTATTGGCCGATGCGACGAATCTCAATCCTGGAACTATCCTGGATGTGGTTGCGGGTTCACCACAAAAACAAAATTTTAGCTCGCTGTGGTACATTTTGTTCCATATGCACATAAGTATAGAA